GGAGTCAGTTGAGGGCTTGTAGTCGGACGCAGGAGAGGATGGTTTGCTAGTGGGATAAGTGGGTTTGCTGGACGAAGGCGTCTTAGCGGAGTCAGTTGAGGGCTTGTAGTCGGACGCAGGAGAGGATGGTTTGCGAGTGGGATAAGTGGGTTTGCTGGACGAAGGCGTCTTAGCGGAGTCAGTTGAGGGCTTGTAGTCGGACGCAGGAGAGGATGGTTTGCGAGTGGGATAAGTGGGTTTGCTGGACGAAGGCGTCTTAGCGGATTCAGTTGAGGTCTTAGTGGCGGACAGAGAGGTTTTGAATACTGACTGATTAGGTTTTTGGCGGGATGTAGGCGTCGCGTTAGACGAAGGAGTCGATGCGGGCAATTCAGGGTATGTGATCCTTTGGGCCACATTGCATGTTCCCTTGTCAGTTGTCCCTCGCTTCAAGTATATGTACCCTTTGTCACCCCATTCCGTCCCCCACGAGTTCTTGATTTTGAAGTACTCGTCGTTGTAACCGACGGCAATCACATAGTGGTCGGATTGAACCCCAGGGCATTGAGACACGATGCCACTCTTGTAGTTGCGCCACACTGCGTTGGAAGATTCGACGAACACGGTGGCGGGCTGACTTTCCAGAACTGTCATGAGCGAATCCTCGCCAAACGTAGTCTTGGTTTTGCCAATCGTCAGCTGCTTCTTGGTGCAGCTGGTTTGGCAGGTACCGCTTTGACCACTCGTGCCGGAAGTGTACGGGTAAGACTCTTCAGTGCACATGCCTTGTTGCATCCAGTCGATGGCTGGTGAAGGATTGCCACCGTTGCAACCAGAGTTCTTTTCGTCACAGCTGACCACTTGTTGCTCAGACAAGTCCAAGAGTTCACCAGTTGCAATGCAGTGGGCAGTCTCCACCGCCCCGATGGTGGCGAAGGCCCAGCTTGACCCACACAGGCCTTGGTTGACAATCGGGGAGTTGCACTTGGATGTCGACCAGTCCGCTTGAGAAGCACGGTCATTTGCCAACTCTGACAAATGCGAGGCGTTGGTGAAGTTTTGTGGCTCAAATGACTTCATCAACATGCCCTTAAACTCTTCGTCGGTCAAGAGAGCAAACTGGTTGAATGGACTGAACTCAGCGTGCGGGTTGGATGCTTTTGCGACCTTCGCCTCTTGGACGGTGTGGTGGAAGCGCTCGAGTTCATCGACAGAATGGCCATCGACTTGGGCAGATTCCGTGTTGGTTCGGGGGAAGAAGCCGTTGGCTCGTGCAATGGGGCCATACAACTCCTTCCATTTGTCCAGTTCTTGCTCCAACGAAGTTTGATCAGACGAGCTGAGGGATTTGAAAGAATGTCGGGTAGCAGACGCAGTGGTTGCGAGCGCGGTGGAGAGGGCGAGATTTGCTTTCATATGCGTTTGATAAACGGAATTGAACAATGACAGTTTGGTTTGGAATGTAAAACTTGATTTCATATCGTTTGAACTGTCCAAAGTTCGCTGCACCCAAGTCCGCGTGTGATTTAACAATAGTACGGTACGATGGTTACCATGCGGAAGAACGCAATGTGGACCACACGACACCCCATGTATTTCTGGCTCAATCTCCTGATTCTACCGTCCAAGGGTTCAGGGATTTGAATGTCCCCGGCCATCAATGCGCAGATAGTTATGCACTAACTTACAAGAAGTGCTGCATTCTTACCCAGTACGTGCAAGCAATACAAAATCCAACATTTTTCTCCAGGCCGTTGGACGAGGAAGTAACATCGAATGGAGGATTGGATTGGTGTATGTGCCAGGGCTAGAGTTGTTTTCGACCAGTAGAGTAGTACTATGGGTGGATGTGAACTTTGGTAAGAAACTTATACTAGTAGTACATAGTTGTACTCGACTTACTGTCGTGCAATTTTCACGTCTGGATACAGTATCGCCAAAGAAACATTTTCGTAGCAAAATAATACTTCGAAGTAGTATGTTACAGTCTCTGTTGTACTGTATTGCACGTACAGAGGCTAGGCGAGTAGTGCTGTACTGTACTGTACATATCATACAATATCATCTGTTGAAATTCTACTTACACCATTTTGCAGTGCCTGATACCGGTACAATATATTTGGCGGTGTATCCGATATAATTGGCCGTGTGCCCAAGCAATTGCCCAACTGCCCGAAGAATTGTGTCGTGAGCCCGATGAAAATGGAAATCACGCAATAAAAAGTCAATTCAATATAGAAATGGTCGTCAAACGACACATGCAGCATCGTTGCAGTGACGTAACATACCAGCGCCCATGTTGCGCATGGCCTTCGCGCGTCCATCGAGGTAAATCGAAACAGATTCAAATTTTGAACGGAGTTGAAGTATGGACGAAACGTTGAAGTATAGGTAGGGGCAACAGTATACAGTACTACCACTCTGGTCCATGAAAAGTGTCCCATTTGTTTCAGTGCGACGCCATTCGTCTGTTATTTTAGTTGAATGCATCTGATTGGTGCATTTGAAAGCCAGAGATCGCGTCTTTGATTGGCTTGTCAACGTTTCTCTGAATTCGTTGTGACAGTGTACGACGTCGATTTTTTTTAGAGAAAATCACCTACTGAGCGTTCAATATCACTTCAATCTGATATACTTGAGGCCTAATATAGAGCATCTCCACCCGTCAGTTTTATAGTTCAGCTTTTACGGATAACCTTTAGATAGGACCAGTCTTGGCTTTATTAGAGCATCTCCACCGGTTGGGTCTTATAACATGGCTTTTCACGGATAATGTACGGATAAAGGGGAGTCTTATGCTGGTTCTACCAATAAGACGCATTTTCCCCACCCGTCAGTCTTATTTTGCGCAGGGAATCCAACACAGACGAACATCAACTTTTCGCTTACTTTTAGTCACCGCGATCACTTCTTCACCAAGGCGTTAACAGTAACCGTCAATGTAGTGTAGCGATTCGCAGGACGATTGTCGTGAGTTTGTTTCTACGTATTGCCCGATATGTAGGTGGAGATGCTCTAAAGACTTGTCTAGCCTACACAGAGCAGCCACACGTGCTTGCCAGCACCAAAGACTTTACTGTTAGCTACAGTAGTTGCACCTTGTGTCGTTGCACTAGTGTCGATCACCACACCATGCTGGTACAATGGCCAGGACGACCCTATCCAAGGTTTGCTTACAGCTCTCTCTCCATGGCCGGCGGCTGATTTTGGGGTATACAGTACACCTAGAGAGAGGTATCCACCTCTTTCTTTATCAATAAGAATATGTATTTATAGAGTGATTTTCTCAGAACTCTACCAATTTTCATACTGCACTTTACAGTTAACAAGTCAAAACAAATGGGACTCTTTTCATGGACCAGAGTAGTAAAAATATCGACTTCATATTAGGTACTGGAGTACTGGAGTTCTATCTGCTATTCATGGGAGCAAATTGCACAATTCATTGGTACAGAATAAAGTAAGTGCAATTAAAATATCGACTTCAATGTGTTGAATATCGACTTCGATGTATTGACTTGAACAAAGTATACTGTTGCCCCCATACTTCAACGTTTCGTCCATACTCCAACTCCCTCCAAAATTTTAATCTGTCGCCGGCAGAGCTCATGTTTCGATTTACTTCAAGGTACGCACCTCGATGGACGCACGGAGGCCATGCACAACAAGGGCGTTGGTATGTGACGTCACAGCAACAATGCTGCATGTGTCGTTTGACGATCATTTCTTTATTGAATTGACTTTTTATTGCGTGATTTCCATTTTCATCGGGCTCACGACATAATACTTCGGGCAGATGGGCAATTGCTCGGGCATACGACCAAATATGTCGGGCGCACGCCATCCGTGAGCCAAATTAAACGGGCATATGGCCAACTTAACTGCAAAAAGGTGTATACACAGTATTAACCCGCTAGGATGGACGAGATTTCTCAATGAGAAATATTCTCATTGGCCGGGTTAGCCAATTAACTGTAAATCACATACTGCAGCTATGCATGATTCCTGATCAGATCACAGCGGAAGTACTATGGGACTAACGCTGAAAAACGTTCAACAAGTCTGAATACCGTCCAGTCAAGACTGAAAACCGTCCAAACTAATAAACACTAGTTAGATGGCATATGTTTTGTACTCTGACCACCTCAACTAATACTAGGGGATTTAGCATTATACTTCGAAGTATGTGCACGCGGGGGTAGGGCGAAGTCCCGGTGTTACAGGGTTACGGGAAGAAAATTTGCTTGAACGGTTTTCAGTCTTGGCTGAATGGTATCCAGGTTTATTGAACGTTTTCCCATAGTTTCCCTTCTATGGTGGTACTACGTTCAGTACAGTACTGCTGTATTAATACTATTACTCAAGTAATCGTAGTACTTTTAATAGTACTGTACACTGTAGCTACAGTATGCACGATTCCTGATCAGATCAAAGGGGAATTATACAGTACGTACATTACGCATCTCGTTTCGAATTTCTCTGCCGTAAAAGTCAACCCATTTTTCGAACAACACATTCTTGTTCATATTTGGACTCTACATTCGCCTCACCCACATACCGGTACAGTAGTTCCTACAGTATCATGAGTTCAATCAATCCACTTGTAGCATTGTTCAATTTCACTTGCAAACACACAGCTAACGTTAACCTAGATAGCCAATTTATGGTGCACTTGAAAGGACCTCGGTCGTGGCATGCAGTTTTCTCGTAGCCCAGGACCGGGATTTAAATACTGAAAGTTTCTGCCTGAATCCGAAAGGTTGGGCATTCTTCATTACTATATAATCCGCTGGAATAGAGTTCATTTTCGGGTTATTTTACTTCGATTTCCACTTAATCAAGACAAAATAGGTGGGACGGTTTATGGTGCACGGTTTAACAGTAAGCTTAAAAAATGTAAAGTTATGCGATGTTTGCTTATTTTTCGGCGATTTCATTTTGGGTCTGGGCAACTCCCACGTTCAGTTTTTCATGAATACCCCATTTTCAGACTTGACGTCGCACTTGTCCGATGCATCGATTGGATTGTATTCGATGCAGAACGAACACTTTGGCATCGTTGAAATGATGGCGGCGGGCCTCGTCGCGATTGTGCACGACTCTGGAGGTCCGCGCGAAGACATTGTCAAGCCTGGCACAGGATACTTGGCCACCACGCCGGAAGAATACGCCACGTACATGTACGGCATCCTCACGCAACCCAATGTAGCGGACGACACCCGGCAAGCCGCGCGGGTGTCGGCGGGGCGGTTTTCAGACAAAATCTTCCAAGATAGCTTAGCCACGGCTCTAGCTCCAGTGTTGATCCTTTCGGCTGCCTCAATGATTTGAAAGGGAAATTCGCACTTGGTGTGCAATGTAGTAACGTTACCGGTAGAATGAACAAGCCATTTTGATATGAAATATATCCCCAAAACGGGTTCAAATTGAACAATTGATGTAATGTGACACACTAGTTCGATGGGCGGCTAAATTTCCACGACGCAGTTGTAATCGTGAAGCGCCAAGTCGGTCAGGAGAAGCAAGTGGTGGTGGCTGTACAGGTTGGAAATGTGTGGAAACTCGTCCTCGATGGAGTCGTCAAAATCGTATGCTGTGCGATGGTTCTGGTGGATGTCGTCCCGGGGAGACTCGATGCTGTACGGCTCAGAGTTGGAGTCGTCGAACCCTTGATTCTCTGGCTGTGGTTTCGTTGGCTTGTGGGTGTCAACTACGTCGCCTTGCACTTTCGTTCGACGTAGTTCATGTACTATATGCCATATGTAAATTTACATTAATTCGACCAGACGAGCCGAGTTTATGATAAGTGCAGCTCGGTTTGTCGGCTCGAAGACCGACACGGTAGTGTGTGCTTGGTACCGGTGGAGCGGCGCCGAGTGGAGTTTCCAGATCACGATCATGGATTCCTTTGAGTGACAAGGATGCTGTGACTGGGGGGGTGCCATACCATCGGCTTGATGTCCGCCTAGAGCGACAATTTCGAGAACACTTGCAGCGCGGCCGTCCAACACGACGAGGCTGCGAACGAACGACACACTGGTGAGGATTACCGACATTTTCAGGTTCCACTTGACGCTCTGCGTATTGTCCGTGTAATGCGCAATAATCAAAACACCAGAATCCCCCACCCCCTCTTGCTGCTAGCTGTGGTGGAAATATCTCCGAGCATTCTATTACATACTAGTATACTATTTATAGAACAGCAATGGATAGCCAATGCTGAAAAATTCGAGCGCAGAGCTGGATTCTCCGACATCGGCGGGGCAGTTGATGGTTCTCTTTTTAGAATGGAAAAGCCGTATGAAATTGACGGGTAATATTTGAATGCATTAATGCTTAAACCGATGTAAAATATTATATATTGATGTGCATTAGTTGGATTTGTCGCAAATGATTCGCCGCGATTAACTTGCAAGCGACGGTAGACGGCCGTGGGCGATTTATGGAGTACTCTCTGTGTCCAGGGTCGTGCGGTGACAAAAATATGTGGCATATGTCGAGCTTGGGGCGACGTGGCAAAGCTATTTTGCCGGCGTACATGCATCTCATCGGTGATGCTGGATACACCCTGGCCACATACATGATGATACCCTACCCGATATACACTGGGATGCCCGGAAGTGAATTACGATACAAGTATCTTCAGTCTCGTTCACGGATTGTCGTCGAGATGGCCTTCGGCGGCCTGAAAAGGAGGTGGCGTATCCTGAAGCGCACCTTGAACATGAAAACTCCAAGAAGTTGTGGTCGAACTATCGTTACCTGCATGGTGTTGCACAACCTCACGATCGATGTTGGCGACGAATTACGGACCGAATTGACCCATATTTGGGACTTCATGTGCTCGAAGAGACTTGGTCAGTGCAGACGTCGAACAGTGAAACTGCCCTGCACAAGCGAAATGGAATTAAACAATAGAGAGGTTTCCGTAAAATCCTTTCGGCTCCAACTTCGCTTCAGACAACAAACACATGATGTGAACGGAAATTATGTTTTCTAAGTTTCATAAATTTCCGATATTGTTCCTGTTACACGACAATCATTGAATCGGTGCCAAAAATAGATAAAACGATATTTACCACGAAAACCACACTGCTTCTCAATCATGGCCCTGTCGGTGCACACCATTACCATGCTCTTGGCACTTGCTAAGACAAAATCAACGCGCGACATGTTGGTGTGCATGTACGTGTACCAATACGTCGAGCCTCCACTCATCCCAAGGGTAGTATTTTCCCTTGACGGCTATGCCCACACAAACGCGCTCCTTGACTTTCGGTTCGACGTGGTTGGAATCAAACGACTTGGCTACCTGCTGGGGGTCTCCACCGTCGTTATAATAACGAACATTTCCAGGATCTCTCTAGATGAAGCCATGTGTGTGTTGCTCAGTCGATTGACTTTCCCCCGACGTTATCACGACATGGCACGAATGTTTGGTTGGTCGTTCACGAGGGCGCCTATCCGACATTTTCAACCACATGGTGTATGATCTGTACGACCGTTGGAAACAGGATTTGTTTTTCAATTTGAGATTGCTGCGTGCCAACATGGACAAGTATTGTGTGGCCTTCCATAACAAAGAATCACCACTCAGCTGTGTGCTTGGCTTCACTGACGGAACGAAAGTCCAAACGTGTCGTATTGCAGCGGTTGGAGACGGATTAAATCTGCAAAAACAGTTGTACAGTGGGCACAAACGAATCCATTGCCTCAACTACCAAGCCGTCGCTGCCCCGGATGGTATTTGTATTCACTTTTGGGGACCAACTGAGGGTCGACGCCACGAATCAGCGATGCTCGCGCACAGTGGCCTCTTGCAAGCAATTTCAAGCCATCCGGCAATATTTGCCTCAAAATACATCTACGGCGACCCAGCATATGGAGTAACCAGGCACATTATCAGCGGCTACAAGGGAACAACATTTCAGTCAAAAAACAAAACTTCAACAAAGCCATGAGATGCGTGCGACAGTCAGTCGAATGGAATTTCAAGATCATGAAAACACTGCGGGCGTACATCACGTTCAAGAATCTTGCAAAAGTTCGACAATCACCGATGGCGAAAATCGTTTGTGTTGCCATGCTGTTGACGAATTGTCACTGCTGGCATTTCCGGGGTAATCAAATCAGTATGTATTTTGAAGTAGCCCCACCAACGCTCGAAGAATATCTTGACACAGTGCAGGTTGAAACAATCTAATAGTAATAAATTGAATTTCATCGACAGTTGCATTAATAATAACAAGTACATTAATAGTAATATTAACTACTAGAGCAATATAGTTTGTGGGCCAAGCTAGAACAATGACAATTACTCTAGAACTTCTTCACTAGTGCATCGAGCACGGTAGTCATAGCGCTCTGCATCACTTGCATTTGCTGCATCTGGACCTCGCGGTCCTTTTGGCGTTCATTAACTTCACGTTGGCGGTCCATTTTGCGCTCCTCAAAATTCCGGTGGCGTTCTTCAACTTCACGTTCGAGGTCTTTTTTGCGTTCCTCCAACTCACGTGCAAACATGAACTTGCGTAGATCAAGCACACTTCGGTTGCCTTCGTTCATGAGTGTAAGGATTTTCAGCATTACCCGACGCATTCGACCCCCCATCGCCAACTTCGGCTTTTCGTTTACCTTGAGATTTCATGGCTTCGTCACGAACAAGAGCACCGGCTTCTTCGGACCGTGCTGCTGTGCTGTCCTCGGTGCTTGCACGACGCATTTCTTCGTTATTGGCCTCATCCACTTGGGTTGCGAGGTCGTCCAGCAGGATGGTCTTCTCCGTTACTTCTTCGGCAACGCCTGATGCCCGCATTGAAGCTCTGTTGTCGTCACGATGATCACGCAATAATAAGGCAAATCGGGCTTGTGCTTTCTTGCCATCGAACTGGGGACGGTCAAAGTCACCCACGGTAGCCAGATTCCGTGCAACGGAGTCTCAGACATCCATAATTTTGCCTCGACGGGCGAGGAATAGCATCTCCACGCTGATTTGGGTCAGAAGCAAGATGTCTTGACGCTCGGTGAACTACCGACGCTTCAGAGGAGTTGACATTGCACACACGAATGGAGAGGACAGGGTTCTGCTCAGACACCCCTCAGAGAGGAACCATAATAAACTTTGAAGAGTTTCCTTACTGATATTCCAAGGGTTTCGAAAAACAAGTGCTGGGAAGCATAAGAGGAAACGATCGGAATTTTTAGAAACATCTCTAATATATTGTATCCTTGTACTTGTGAGTTCATAAAACTATTAATATCTAAGTACTAGTTAGTATTTGTGAAAGCGTTAATGGTAGTTGACATGTTCATATGTGAAGTTACATTAACTTCAGTAGTATCACTTCCTGATTTTTATTACTTGCTAATCAACTTTGCAAGAGACTCAAATAGGACTTTGTTGAGTGCTGCCTGTTCCTTTTGTTCTCCGCTTGCAACTACAACATAATGTTAATTTTGTCTACAAGTGGAGACAAATCCACAACCGGTGCAAATAGGGGTGAGGTCTTCGAACTGGCCATCGTAACCAGAGCGTCTGCTATTCTGGAAAGCGTCGCCTCCAACGAATCACCCAACGACTTTATCGCTACGACTGCCCGAGGAATCATTGGAGAGTGCGCAGCCGGACGAATTTTGGTAGCAGTGCTTAGGGGACTATTGGTGCCGTCGTCGGAGTCGCCCAGGGTCTCGTCAAAATTGTCCTGAATGGAGTCCATCATTGGCGACGAGTTCCTTCCAGTGCATTCCTACAAAATTATAATAAAGTAAAAGTTGCATATAAATATATATATAATGAACCTGAAAATATTCCACAAGTATCTGCCAGTGGTCTGGGTAGTCGATTGATTCCTCCACGTTGCCAGTCTCGTCGGTAGCTTGCACAGAGAACGATACTCTGTTTTCAACGCGGCGAATCGTTTCGTCACTTGCTTGACATCGTAATTAACACCTGCCCTAATGTTGAAGCGTGCGGTTACGAAAGCCCACCATGCAGCCTTTTGCTTTGTCGTCTTGCATGCGTTGAACTTGCGCTTCGCTGTCTCGCTGAACCTGATCGCCATGAGATCTGCAATCATCTCTCTGGTCGATGTGGCTCTCATTTTGTCCACCGGGGATGTCTTGATCGTTGGTTTGAATGTCCTTGGCTTCTTCGCTGTCGGGCCGTATTCGGCAGCCACTTCTGGTTGCCCAAGCTCCGTCATTGTGAGTGATTGGCCATGAAACTGGCCCTTACCACCGCTACTATCCGGACGCATTACTCTGACCGGTTATTATTTTTACCGGATTATTTTAACCAGCACCAACTTTTTCTCACCCAAAAAGTCTTCGAAAAAAATTGAGGTACTGATTTCCCCCCTGATTGAATTGGTTGATTGTGAACAACTTTCAAAGAATATCAAAATACACAGTTAATGCAGCATTAATTTTCGAAAGAAGTCTACTCATGTTCCATGGCTACCACGTGCTCACTGAAAGACGACAGGTCAGTGTCCAGAATGCCAGTGCATTTCCAGCAATTCACAATCGTTGACTGTGCAACAGACCGCCATGTTTTCTTGGCCCAGGCCATCGCTTCGACCAAAGGTACTTCATAGAGTGTATCCTGTCGTCCAGCCATGACAGAACCTATTTGTTCCAGTGCGTTTTGCACCTGGCGTTGTTTGACCTTGGCCTTGAAGGAAGCAATGATACCAGCTTCCTACTGTGTTTCTGTTGCAGGTGAAAGGTGCTATTCTTCAGCAACATCTTGACGTTGACGTTTGCGTACAGCGTTTCGTCATCCGGCTTGTGCGGAGGTGCGTTTTCGACTAAAAGCACTACCCTGCGGTCTTCTGCGGACATGCGGTCATTTAGCTCATTCAGGTATGCGTTGAAATTGTTGCCTGCCATCCAACCATTTTTCCTGGCAAGGTAGTCGAAACCAAGGTCGGTGCCTGACATGCCGTTGAAGCAATGTGAACGTGCCGCAGTCCCAATGAGGCCAGGGTCAACCACATTCGAACGATCCGCGTTAGTGGTGAGGGCAATTGGGATTCGTTTTTTAGACTTCTTCGTTCCAGGTTGACGGTTCTTGTGATGGAGCGGTGGGGAGCCATGCAGTAGAAACACGCTGTTTCATCCATATTGTAGGTATTCTTGTCGTCGTATCATCGTGTGACGGCCATCATGGCCAGCCGGCCATCGGCTACATCGGCTGGAGACACCGAACCGACTTTGCCATGCTGGACTTTACTGGTAAGGCCGTACTTGAGTTAAAACTTGTATAGTCAGCCTTTTGAAAAGAAAATGAAGCGTGCTGACGAAACATCCATTTGGTCACAAAGTACCGATGCATGCTTTCGGATCAACTAGCCCGTGATGCACACGCCCAGGTCTTCACAGCGTAAGACCCATTCGAGAATGCGCTCCTCGATGTCTGGCAGAGTTACGATGCGGTCGTTCTTCCTGTTGGTTTTGTCTGACCGTGTAGCTTAATGTAGCTTGATGCTTAATGGCACGTCCAATGGTTGGTTTGGATGGAGGAGACACAAGAGCAAACTTGAGAGCAGCCCATGTGGCTAACTCTGTGTACGTAGCGCTTGGATTTTGCATGTGGTGAGCATAAAGCTCGTGCTTTTCCGACATAGTCATTAGCAGCTTCATGATTTGAAATGCTACTACTATTAATACTTCAAAATTTGTTCCAACATGCTTGTACGATTTGATTAGAGCATCTCCAACGGTAAATTCTAACCTATTGCTAAAGTATAGGTTAAAGTCAAACTTCGTTTTTACGGTTGCTATTTTGGCACTATCCGGACTCTTTAGAAATTTCGTCCCACAGAATTTCTTTTTTCGCGTGATATAGCAACAAACCCTCCGGATAGAGCAAGAGTTTCTATTCTATATCCGTAACTTCGAATTGAAATAGAAATAAAAACGCCGTTGGAGATGCTCTAAGAGCATCTAATTTATGCAAACAGACCTCCAATTTTGATAATTACAAGTTTATAGAAATTATTCACTTTGGCCCGTTTCAAAGAAACAGGGAAATCAGTACTATTAATAGTAGTTTACTTCACAGTCAACCAGGCCCTAACTAGTACTACTAGTATGTAGTATTAATCCAGATTAAAAAGTAATCCAGGAATATTTGAAGTCATCCAGGCAAAATTGAATTCATCCATATCCTAATTAGGTTTCGAATATTTGTATTTAAATGTACTACAATAACGACAATAACGTATGTGATTATTTATTCATATTTACCCATTTACGAAACAAGATCAACACCCCGATAGTGAAGTTCATACTTTATTTTGAAAGAGAATGATGGTTACGAAACAAACACGTAACAACTTATCCGGAACGATTAGGAGCTAGCTTAGGCCAGGGCCGGGAATCAGGCCCGTTCGCCCGCGCAGCGACTCAGTATCACAGCAATGATCTATCTAAACCTTGGGAGCCCCCCTTATATACCGGTTAATTAACCGGATGTTTCGTAAGTCCTTGGTACAGTAGTCCCCCACAATAGCGAACCTTTGATCGCAATCCGATATTAGAGGTATTACAGGACTAAGAGGTATAAAATGCTACAGGATATTTGCTTGGGTACCAAGTCTCTGATTGGTCAGAATAATCCATATGTTTTGTCAAACCACGACAACGAAAGTGCCCTGATTGGGTGGATAACATATTCGAATTCAGGAGGGGGTTGATACCCTGGCAAACTCCAGAAGACAAAACCCATCACATTACGAGTTATTAAAACTATTAGTCAATTCGTATACTACTTCGTCAAGTATTCCAGTATGCAGTATGCGGTAAGCCACCCCGACATAGTTGACTTGGCAGGTACAGTAGTTTGGGCAGCTGGAAAGCCGCGAGCGCCCATTGGCGAGGCGGAGGCCTCGTAGCGTTGGATTGGACTCATGGTGCTCGAGCAACGTTGATTTTTGTTCGTCAGCCGTAGCCTCGACGGCTGTGGCGACGGCATGATTTGACAGTGAGTACCAAATACTTGTTTATCATGTGTTGTGAATTATGTGTTGTGGACAATTTCAAATTTTGAAAAAAACTCTATAAACGGATGTATGAGTCTTTTGGAATTTTATACATTTGGAAAGGATATCGACTTTACGTGGGTGTGGGGGACTACTGTATTCATGTTTGGTGTCATCCAACGTCGTCCTCGTTGTAAGTACTGTAGGTATTGTCTGACGACTTGCAATCAGTTATTTTCCATATTTAACTATATCATACTTTCCCCATAGCCTGGTAGTCCAAATACTCAATTAACCATAGCCTGGTAGCAACACTGATCCCAGACCATTTCTCAACCTATGGTGCATGTCATCTATAACGTTCCAGATGACCAAATCCAAGACTGGAGGTTATATTATTTAACGTATATTTAATGGAGTTAAAACTAAATGAACAGTATATTTAATGGAGTTAAAACTAAATAAGTTAACAGTACATTTAATGGAGTTAAAACTAAATAAGTTAACAGACTGTAAATCCCGATTTCACGAGTTTGATCACTTTAGAGGTAGATTAACACTGTAAAGGTCCACTTACCTCCAGATATAATAGAGAGGTTTCGCAACTCATCTTTACATTACCCTCATCATCACATTATCGACAAATGTCGTTTTCAGGACAATGATATTGACAAAATAATTTACGTTTCGCAACTTATCCTCATCCGGAGGCTGCGGGAACAGGCGATAGTTAGTAGCAACGAGAATTCCATGAACGTTGCCAACACAACATAATGTTCCATCGCGCTTCAAGTATAGCTAGAAGCATCTATCACTGGGATCGGCGCGGTTTGTCGTCTGACGTCGCCAAAGCATCTTTGTTGCTGTCCGCCGAACGCCGCACCTCGTTGTCCAGCTCATCGACGTCAAACATTTCGACAATTCGGCGGTTTCGTACTTTCTCGCACAAACACAGTTAATTTTTTAAACGACATTTCAAAGTTATATTATTACATTATAACTTAAGAAAGTTAACCTAAGTTAACGTTAACTTTGTCATAATTTATGACAAACATTGTTAACAATCCGAGAAAGTACATGACTTCGACTAACGATTTCTTAGCAATGGTTGGGCGATATGCCATAAACTTTCGCGTGCAAGTAGATCTCGATGGTGTCTATGGAAGTTGATAAGAGTTCACTAAGTTGGGACAATAGTGGGCAAGAATCGGAGCATCAAACATTCCATTTTTGAAAAATATAGTTT